AGAATGGCTTTGTCTGTTGGCCCTAGGACCTCTTCTGTGAGCTTAGCTCAGACTCCTTTGTGTGTCGACAGGCACAAATTAATTTATTTTGAATGTCTGGCATGGTTCATGGGGTTATTCTGTTGCACAAGCGTGTTACGTGTAAATTCTGTTGCCAGATTGCAGGAATCGACATATTGAATTGAAATCGACACCTGCAAGTCTTGTAACAAAAACAAGAAATGGGTAATGTAACATGCTTGGAAAATAACTGTAACTGCCTTCAATTCCCACAGCGCCCGAGTTGATAACATTTAAATGGAGTTCAGTACAGTGACTGCTGATTGCAATGCATGTGTGTTATTTCCAGACACTGTTCCTGTCATTTTCAACGTCAGTAATTAAATAAATATATTCTGAATGATATTTGTTTGTCTCGCTTTGAATAAGGTGTTTAAACTGAATTCCGGGTTTATCATATAGCGACCTCAGTATTTATTGTGTTTGTTAGTTGATTATCATTGACATCCATTGTCCCAATGAGTCTTGCTAATCTTACCATAAATGTATGACCCTGTACACCTGAAAAGTGAAACCGCGAAATGAACACAGCAGAAGTAGGGAACAAAAGCGCATTTTACTCAGCAACTAAAAGAAATGCACACGCCGATCTCTGTTATGGTTTGCAGTGCATAAGTTCCAGTTCTTCTACAGTTCTTACTTCCTACTACAGTACAAGAGTCTTAGCGCCCTCTAGCAGACATTAATTATATTACAGCCGGTATAATTGGGGAATAGGAAAACTGTGAATTTCTGTCACGCCCCGCTCCATACGATCCTGATGTGTGCCACGCCCCCCTCATTACCTCGTGTGCATCCCCGATTGTGATCACCTGTGTCCTGTTATGTCTGGCTAGTCTTTTGTATTTAGTCCGTGTCTCAGTTAGTTTCCCCAGATCCGTCATTGTAATGTCCGTGGATGTTCCTGCGTGTGTGTATCTTGCTGATTAAAACCCCTGTTTACCCGTGAGAATGGCTCCACTTACCTGCTTCCCCGCTCGCCTGCACGCCGGAGTGTGACAATTTCAAAACAACATGCTTTTTATTCATTATTTATTTACAGTCCACTTTTCATTCGCTATTTATTTACAATTTCTTTGCTGTCCTGAAGTGTGTCATGCAGAGGTTTGAAACACTATTTGTGGTAAAATGCCAAGCACATGCCCAGCAGGAAAGGGTGAAATTACAGGTGGGGCTCTGTCTGGGACAGCTGCGGTTCATTGATGGCCTCCCCTCCCCAGCATCTGTCAGGGGTGTTCTGTGGTACCGAGGAATGGGCTGTTGAGTACGGGCCTCGGGTCTCCCGTTAGTATGGGCGTGTCTAGGTCTTGCTGCATGAATACCCAAAAAGTATTTCTTGAAATAAATTTTTTAAAAATGTTTCATAGCAGAGAAGCTAAATTTGGACTGACTTTAACAGATCAGATTTGGAAACGCTGGAATGATTCATTCTGTACTGGCAGAAAAGGAACATTTCCACTTACTTGAGACATTTTGCTTACAATAGTGTTTGAATGCTTAAGTGTTTCTCTGAATGGTTGTGCTGTTCCAGGTCTTGCAGACAAACAGCGACACTTCAGTCATGTGTTGCTGAATCATTTTGCCTCACAATGAATAATGAAAATGGTTAATGGCCTGTAGTGTTTCAGAATGCATGTGTGTGTGTGTTTGTGTGTGTGTGTATACGTGCTGTATCTTACGTTGTTACCTAATGCTACTTGATGAAATGTTGTATAAAAGCAATAACATACTCGAAGTTGTGCGGTTGTACTCAAATATATCAGGGCTGTGATTCAGCCTAAGATAATGAAAGCCGTGATAAACCAGAATACAAACGCACTCCTTCTCATGTTACGGCCTAATTAAATGTCAAATGTTTGCTTGTTTGCTTTTGACTCTTTAGTTCAGAATTTTCTTTCGGTTGTTTTCCACAACTTGCAAGATGTTCTGGAAGTGTTCGTGTCAACAATACCAGTCGCCAATTTCACTGTGTGTGTCTGTGTGTGTGTGTGTGTGTGTCTCGATATGCTGTGATTATCATATCACAAACACAACACAGATGAGTATAGATAATGGATAGTGTATATTGCCCATTGATGTGACAGGTGAAAACTTCGATCACGTTGCGGAACCTGAAAATATTTACCTATTTCAAAGATATTTTGCACGTTTAATAATGAGGTCCAGTGACAACTTTTCCACACTATTGGAAATTGCTATTGGAAATTTAGATTTTTTTCACCCCACCCTAATAATTATAGACCTGCTGGATCGGATGTCATTTTCCTTCCCCACGGTACAGTGCACACCCCTCACATTCATCTCTGTATTGTGTTAGTATTGTTAAGGTTAGTACTCAGGGTAGCGGCAGTGTGACCCTGCTCTGTAACAGTGCCTTGCTGATTCTTATTGCCCACCATGGGTGACAGAATTCTCACCCTTAAGGCCAGGTCCGTGCCCCTCTGGCATTCCAGCGGTCAGGGTGTCTCATGGAAAAGTGATGTTGTTGTTTTACCAGAAATAACAGTCAGCATTGTCCAGAATGTGGACGTCAGTGACACTGTGGTCAGATTTAGATTCTTTTCGATGTGTGTGTGTGTGTGTGTGTGTGTGTGTGTGTGTGTGACAGTGAGAAACAGGACCCAGATCAGCTTTTATGACTAGTATCCATCTTCGCTAGGACGTACTAATGTCTCACCTTTTGTAGGGTTAACACAAGGTTAGGAGGGGGGGCAGGGTGTGTCCGAAAGGGTCAGGTACAGCCTCATCAAGAATATTGTAAAGCTACCAAACTGAAGTTGAACAAAAACCAGGAATCATGCTGGAGAAACATTTACCTTTATTTATTTAGCAGAAGCTTTTTTGTCGAAGGCCTGGGGCGACTGGGGGCTGATGGCCTTGCTCAGGACCCCACTGGCAAAATCACTCTGCTGGAGGGGGGGGGGGTGTCCAGCAGCTCTACCAATAGGTTCACTGTGGTATATTTTGACAACCAGGGGACGGGAGCAAATATCATGGGGGGGGTGGGGGTTCAAGCCGGCGGTTTTGCTATATGGCTACAGGCCTGGTATGCAAAGTTAGTGATTGTTATCTGAGGTAGAAATTCATGCGATTGTAACACTTGAATGACGATCGCGACCTGTCTGGTTGGGTCACGGTATCCTTTGTTTACAATCCTGTGTCCTTGGGAGGCCTCTTAAGGAAGAGTTCACAATGTAACACGAATGGATCCTTGTACAAACAGACAAGGGGAGGTATGGCATGATATTTCCCATCATCATTCAGGGTATCAGCACTCCGTATTCATTCAAACAAACAAACAACCACGAAAAATGCATTTGATCACATTTTGATTTTTTAAGGATGTATTTATAAACTCTACAAGATGTGATAAAATGCAGGGTATAGTCACAATGCTTACATTTAATTGCATGTTTTTAAAATAAAAATCACGCTGAAAATGATTTGCGGCAATAAAATTATTGACTAAAATATATTAATGCTGATACTGAAAATATAGACGTAGTTTTGGAGGCTGTAAGTGTCTCTAATAATATCTATTATCTGAGTGACACTTGCAGTGTGAAATTCCATTATAGGCTCACACTGAGGCCTGCACAGTGACATCATGTTTCTGTTCTTAATTTGGCTCATTAGAGGTGACGATTCACACCTCTGCTCTGAGAACGGAGCCTGGCGGTCCTGTCCCTCGCCAGCACCTGCACCGACACCCCCAGGACACCCCCAGGACGCCAGCAGCACTGCCCGCACTGTGACCTCACGACAAGGTTCGGGTGTTTAACCAGGGCAAGGCCCC